TAACAACAAAACATGCAGGGTCACAATGATCTCGCATCAACTCAACGGCACCTAACAACAAAACATGCAGGGTCACAATGATCTCGAATCAACTCAACGGCACCTAACAACAACAATATGATTGATGTGACTCCCTCTTCGTTAATGTAAAACATTATCAGCACAATTAAAAAAGAGCAAGATTTTTGAGTTAGATAAACTCAAGTACATAGTAAAGGGTCAAAAATATGAGATTGACAACATCTACAAAGGTTCAACACTCAGCATTACCATTTTTTATACTTCTCTGTGTATCCATTGTCTCCTTGTAAAACAGGAATAGCTGTTATTCTGGACAAGCCCCTTAACCTCTGATTCCTCATTTGAAAAATGAGCATAAAATCATTGCTAAGTCCCATAATTTGGAGTGCATTAAGTGAAAAAAAAATGAGTTTGACTGTTTAGCACAGTACTGTGTATATGTGTGTATCCACTCAATATTATTACCTGATAAAAGGTGTATATTATAAAAGGTATATACAGAGAAAAAGAATATTTAAACAAATGGATTAAATTAATCACCTACTAAAAAATTACTTTAACTTTTTTTCACCATACAGGGTCATGTGGCTTATGTTTTAACTCAGGAAACTGATGAAAATTTGCTTTGGAATCCACTGACCGGTCAATGTCATAAACAGTTTGACCCATTTTGTCCCTTACAAAGTGTAGACTGTCTGTTTGATGATGAAAATGTAAGTATATAAAACTAAGTCTTATTTTGAGTTCTCTCCTAAAGGGTAGACCCAGTATTTTCTGTCGTGGCTACACATTAGAAGCATCTGGAGAGTTTTGAGAAAAATCAGAATCCCTGAAATGTGGAGCCTGAGTAACTTTTCTCTCTGAAGCTCCCAGGTAGTTCTGTAATGTGTCAAAGGGTGAAAACAAATAAGGCAGCTCAGTGTTTACATAAGCCTGAATCTTTCTATCTGCTGCATGAGTCTTCCTTGGTTTCTGCCATATCCTTAGGTACTGCTGTTTTTGTTTGGTGCATTTGAATCTATTCTTGATTCATAGTGACCCAAATTGACAGGCAGGAAATTCCCCATAGGGTACTGAATATATCCCATGGACTACCAAAAGAAGAATGGGAATCCCAGAAACACTTAATCGTTCTAATGTGAAACCTATACTTGGAACAAGAGGCAGTCATCAGAACAGAGCAGGGAAACACTGCATGGTTGAAAATTGGGAAAGGTATACGCTAGGGATGTGTCCTTTCTCCATACCTTTTCAACCTGTATGCAGGACGAATTATCCAGGAGGCTGGGCTCTATGAGAAGAAGTGTGGGGTCAGGATTGATGGAAGATCTGTTAACAATCTGCATTATGCAGATGACACAACCCTGCTTGCTGAAACTGAGGAGGACCTGATGCACCTGCTGCAGAGGGTCAAGGACTGCAGCCTTCAGTATGGATTGAGGCTCAATGTCAAGAAGACAAAGATTCTCACCACTGGACCAATTGGCAGCATCAGGATGCATGGTGAAGAGAATGAGATTGTTAACAACTTTAGTTTGCTTGGCTCCATGGTCAACACTCTTGGCACCAGCAGCCAGGAAATTAAAAAACGTATTGCAATGGAAAAGTCTGCTATTAGGGACCTCTCCAGGGTACTGAAGAACAATGGTGTCACTCTGGAGACTAAGATGCGTTTGATACAGGCTATGATCTTTGCAGTCACTTGTTATGCATCAGAGAGTTGGACAGTGACTAGGGAGGATAGAAAGAGAATTGATGCCTTTGAGCTGTGCTGGAGAAGAGTATTGAATATACCATGGACTGCCAAGAAAACAGATTCATCCTAGAGAGGGTTAAACCAGGCTGCTCCTTGGAGGCAAGGATTCTGGGGCTTTATCTGACATACTTTGGACCTGTTGTAAGAAGGGACAGGTCTTTGGAGAGGGACATCACACTTGGGAGGGTGGAGGGACGGCGTAGGAGGGGAAGACCCTCTATGAGGTGGATTGATTCAGTGACTGGGGTAATCGGGATGGGAGTGTCAGAGATAGTGCTATTGGCACAGGACAGAGCAGAGTTTAGTGCTGTTGTACATAGGGTCGCTATGGGTCACAGGCGACTTGACGGCACATAACACCACCACCAAAAGAACAGACATGTCTTAGAGAAAGTACAACCATGGTGCTCCTTGGAGGCAAAGTTGACAAAGCTTCATCTCACATCTTTGGGCATGGTGTTAAATGCTTTTCCTTCTTTGTAGAGGGACATCATGCTTGGAAAGATGGAGGGTCGGCAAAAGAGAGGAAGACCATCAAAGAGATGGATTGATGCAGTGACTGCTGTAGTGGTCTAGGGTATGTCAGAACTGAAGAGGATGGCACAGGATAGAACGGGGTTCAGATCTGTTGGTCATAGGGTCGTTATGAGTCTTACTGGTGCTTATCAACACAACACAGCAAGCTATCAGAGCCCCTACCACTTGGATAGTTGTTTCTCTCTGTTTTTTTGGTTATTGTTAGATGCCATTGAGTCACGTACAACTCATAGCCCTATGAACAACAGATCTGAACCTTGGCCTGTCCTGTGCCATCTTTATAATTTCTGACATCCTTGTGCCCATTGCTGCAGTGTGTCAATCCATCGCACTGAGGGTCTTCTCCTCTTTTGCTGACCTTCCACTTTTCTAAGCATGATGTCCTTCTCCGGGGAAGATCCTCTCCTGACAACGTGCCCAAAGTAGGTGAGATGAAGCTTTGTCATCTTTGCCTCAAGGGGCACTCTGGTTGGACTTTCTCCAAGCCATTTCTGTTTGTTCTTTTGGCGGTCCATTGGTATTCAGTGCTCTTCTCCAACACTGGATGTTGTGGTGGTGGTGTGTTGCGTAGAAGCAACCCATAGCGGACCCTCTAGTAAGTTTTGAGAGGTAGTAATTCTCACGGGAGGATATTGCCCATCACTAGATAATAGGACTGTACATTTTTCTCTATCCTTACTATCCATGACTTTTGTGCTCCTGTGGGCCTTCGCTGGTTGTCTCTTACTATTTTAATAGGTGTGGTTTAATATTCAACAAAATAATACACCAATGGCTGTACATTTTGACTATTCAAAGGACAGTTTCTGGAAACAAATGCTTCCCAAAAGTTTTCAAGAGACAAAAGCTCCAAGTATACAGGTAAATTTGTATTTTTCCAAAGTGTGTCTGAATGTGTGGTGTTGGTGGTGCTAGACTTTATTATTGCCAGCAGCTCTTGTGATGTGTATATAGTTGAATGTTGATGTTTTTTAAAAGAATTTTAATTGATATTTTAACAAAAGTTTACAGAAAACTTGGATTTCCATTCACTCATTGTTATACATTTTCCTCCTTGCCCACCCCTCTCCCCATTCACTTTTCTCTTTAAAGATTATTTCACTGTTGCACAATTTCTTCCTTCCTCTCCCCCACCACTCAGTCCACGTTGCTATGCACCTCTTATTTGAACTTGTATAATGCAAAAAAATCTCGTCATATATTTCTTGTAGACAATTATTTCACTCATCTATTTAAAAGCACTATTCATTATTTATCCCCTCTTTTCTTAGTTTCCCCCCAACCTCCATGTCAATCCTGTTTTATAACAGTGGCATTATGTAGTATTTGTCCTTTTGTGACTAAGATATTTCACTCAACATAATGTCCTCCAGGGTCACCAATTTTATATTTTATTAATTCCTTGTTTTTCAGTGCTACATAGTATTCCATTGTGTGAGTATACCACAGCTTCTCTATCCATTTGTTTGTTGATGGGCACTTGAATTGCTTCCATCTCTTTGCTGTTGTGAACAATGCAGCAGTAAACATGGCTGTGCATGTATCTGCTTAGATGGCAGTTCTGGTTTCTTTAGGGTATATTCCCAGTAGTGAAATTGCTGGATCAAATGGTATTTCTAACTTTTTGAGAAAGCGCCATACCGCCTTCCAGAGAAGTTGCAACATTTTACACTCCCACCAACAGTGAATAAAGGTTCCAATTTCTCCACAGCCTCACCACATTTGTTGTTTGCTGCTCTGTTGAACTTTGCTATTGTTACTGGGGTGAGATGATATCTCAGAGTTGCTTTGTGAAATTTTTTAAAGTTAGAATTCATTTTCTCTGCCATCTAGCTCATGTTTGGACTAATATAGTAACTTCCCTTTGCAAAAATAATTGAGAAGATGCTGTCACCTCAAATTTAAAAAAATTGATTATAAAACATAAAATGCTCTATATGGTATAGTAAGTTCTGTTTCATAACCATGGCAGTGAGAAAATGTAAAAATTGAAAAATAAAAAGACTCTAGGTTCAAAGCCATGACAGTTACCTGTGGAATAACTGTAGCAGTGAGTGGGCTGATCCAGTAGAGTTTGAGAAGTCTGAAAATGTTTTGCAGAAACTACTTTTTGAATCCTGGATGGAAATGAGGCTTTCTAACTCCCCTAATTTTTTTTTTTTAGTAAAATGTGTATTCAAGTTTATTTTTATCACCTCCGAAAGAAACAATGAACTCATTACAAGTAATTGCCTATTCCTTTTTTAAAAAATGTTTTTATTAATTTCAATGAACATTTACAGAGATTTTGGATTTCCATTCATTCATTGTTGCACTTTTCTCCCTGCCCCCTTCCCCCCCCCCACCCCGGTTTGCTCTTAATTCCCCTAATTTTAAAAGAAGAGTCTGGTGGAGAGGGAGGCTCATGACCTGGAGACTCACTGTTTGGAAAGTAGATGCTGAGAGCTTGGATCTGAGTCCAGGAACTGATTAGCTCACCAGCTGCCTGAACTAGTAAAGGGCTCAGGGATGCCTTCGGAAGGCACCTCATGTCTCCCAACAACAGCTGTTTCTGAATTGGGAGCAAGAAAGAAAGAAAATGGGAGAAAAAGAGAGACAAGAACAATAGGAAAACAGATAGAAGATAATTTGGAGAAGCAGATACTCAAGAGCTCAATTTCACTTATAAACCAGGAAGTACAACTTCAGTCAGTAAGACACTATTTCACATGCATGTGGTTGGGGGAGAAAACCCAAAATCAAAGTGTTGGAAATGATTCCGTGAACTGATGGGCAGCACAGGTTGCTCTGGACACTCGGAAACTGGGTGAAGTAACTTAGCCTCGTCACACCTTTAACAAATGTAAGAGTCCAGAGCTTCTGTTGATATTATCCAATGGAATCAATAAATATGGTAAAGGCTTGCTTGCCTAAATTAATCAAGGCACCAATCAGTGGTCTTGACACTTGAAACTGGTTTGGGTTATCCCCTCATTAAAATTAGCACACCAGCCCCGCCCCGGGGGCTGCTGCCACCCGCCTCCCATGATGGCTCTAAAGAGAATCCACAAGGAATTGAATGACCTGGCATGGGACCCCCCAGCACAGTGTTCAGCAGGTCCTGTTGGAGATGATATGTTCCATTGGCAAGCTATAATAATGGGGTCAAATGACAGTCCCTATCAGGGTGGAGTATTTTTCTTGACAATTCATTTCCCAACAGATTACCCCTTCAAACCACCTAAGGTTGCATTTACAACAAGAATTTATCATTCAAATATTAACAGTAATGGCAGCATTTGTCTTGATATTCTACGGTCCCAGTGGTCTCCAGCACTAACTATTTCAAAAGTACTCTTGTCCATCTGTTCTCTGTTGTGTGATCCCAGTCCAGATGATCCTTTAGTGCCTGAGATTGCTCGGATCTACAAAACAGATAGAGAAAAGTACAACAGAATATAGCTCAGGAATGAACTCAGAAGTATGCGATGTAATTAAAGAAATTATTGGATAACCTCTACAAATAAAGATAGGGGAACTCTGAAAGAGAAAAAAAAAATTAGCACACCAGGGGGAAATGTGATATATATATGGTCCCTCTAGGATCTTTCCTAAATTCTCATTGTATATATTTCAGCCTAAAGAAATAATTTATTCTGATACCAATAAAGCCATGGTAGAAGACATAAAGAACAGGTACAATCTCTATTTATATATTATATTATATTATATTATATTATATTATATTATATTATATTATATTATATTATATTATATTATGACTCATAGGTCACTTTCTGTATTTAAACATACTTGTTAGATTTATCAGCAGGAACATGCAAAGGGAGTGATGATAAGTCTTTCTACTTAATCATCTATTTGTCTTTTGGTACATACATCAGAACATGGCCTTTATGCCATCCAGGGCTCTCCGTAGGACAGTGTAAGTTACAATTGATTACTTTTGAAAAGCACTGTGTGTCACTATAAGATAGTTTTCAATGTAGAGGGCTGTTATAATAATAATATAATAAAATAATGTGGCAGTAGTCAACATTTTTTGGAAAAGAAACGACAGTAAGCGGCTCACAGCTGCAGGTATGGTCAAAACAAAAATAGCTGGGGAATGAAAATATCCCCTACACGTAGTCACACGCAGATATGCACATGCCCTAACGTTTAGTCAGTTCCTAAGAGGTAACAGACTGTAGCAGGCCTCACTCTTACTACTAATAGATCCTAGCCTTCCAGATCTGACTGCCTCCTGTGACTCATACTAACACAGCAGGCCAGCATTTAAGCCCCTAACAACTAATCAAAACAGAGCACAACAAAAATCATGTTGTCATTCCCTTCTCTTATTTAAGCACTCAAGCTCCCTCCCTCTCCCACTTTCACTCCCCCTCCTTTCTCAATTCTTACCAAAAAGTAAGACATGCGATATGGAAATGATTCTCAATATCTAGTTTTCATCAGAGTTCCTTTTGGAACCTTTTTAAAAGATAGGTACCAGGGCCCTGGACCAGAACTGTTGAATCACTGTCTGGAGGTGAAATAATGTCATGAAGTCCAACAGATAAATCTGATGCTATACATTACTGAGATTTTTTTTTTGCAGACTCAAATCATGTCCTTGCATCATAATCTAAGTAAGACTCACCATGGTTTGTTCTGCAGAACACAGTGGAGTTAGAGAATCAATCACATCCAGCCATCCTGCTCTAAGAGAGGCTGCCCAAAGAGGGAGGTTCCGTCTCTCCCTGCACTCTGGCGCCCTTCTCTCCCCTGCCCAGCCCAATTCATCACCAATTACTCTTCTAGGGACTGTTTACAGGGAGCAAGGGAAGCCACATCATCATCGTAATTCCCTCCAGTTCTGCCTGCCAATTTAGTTGATCTAATAAATTTATTCCAACTATCTTCATCCTAGACTATGAATCTGAATTTTTGTAAAGGCAGTCTCTTAAATAAGAGACTTAAAGAACGTCAACCTGATACTAAGTCAGTGAGTTCAAACTACCAGTGTTTTTGTTCACAGTCCAAAACTTAACCTTCTACCTCACAGAGCTCCCTGGTAAGTTAGTAGGTATTCCCAAATCCTATCATGAGGGTAGCTGCCCGCACACAGCTGACGGTAGGGGATGCCAACAGAGATTACAACTCACTATGACCTCATGTGTATCCGGGTAGAATTGTGCCTCATAGTTTTACAATGGCTGGTATTTTCCCCCCCAAAAAAAGTACATTGCCATGTCTTTTTTCCAAGGAACCTCTGGATAAACAACCTCTGACTATTCAAACCATTCAGTTAGCAGTCAAACAACCTCTGACTATTCAAACCATTCAGTTAGCAGTCAAGCGCATTAAACAGGTACACTACCCAGGAACTCCAATTAGTTAAACAGAATCCACTGCTGTTGAATTAATTCCATCTTGTGGTGGCCTTCTATCAGGTTTCCAAGAAAGTTTTCTGTGGAGTGGCTGTTGAGTTCAAACTACCAGTATTTCAGTTCTCAGTCCAAGACTTAACCTTCCTCACTACAGAGCTCCCTAATAAGTTACCCACACACGGGTAGCAGAACTAATTTTTGACGACTCAGGGAAGCTGCTTCTCCTCCCAAGTCAACAAGGTTTTGCTTTGTCCTGACTTCTTAAATGGAGATGATGGCTGCCTTCCCCATATATACAGGCCTACTTCTTCTAGGTCTAAAAAGTATCATGCTCGTAAATGAAAGTCACAGCTCCCTTATTACATTTGTTAAGAAGTTGTAATTTGTCAAAAATAATCTTTACCTTCTTACTCCAGGCTTGAAAGGACTCTCAAGTGTAAAATGATGGATTGGCGGCCTAAACAACCAACTCGGTGGAATAGACAATGTACTTCTGTTTTGCGACAAATCCTTCCTAACCTGGAACTTGGAACAGGAAGCTTTGTTTCATCTGAAGAAGAAAGTGAACTTGAAAGACTGCTGCAATTTTATTTGGTTTGTACATGGTTGGGTTTCAGTTGATGATATTTTTGGATTTTTTTCTTTTTTGTTGTATTTTTTCATCTAATAGTAGTCTTAAGTATCCCTAACATACCCTTTGTCTGATCTTCAAAGCTAGGTGTTATGGTATTAACATACTTATTTATAGGCCCAAGAAGTTTTAAATGTAGTGAACAACTGTTTCAAGGACTACATTGTATAGGATTTTCTTGAAACAGATCATATATTTTGTGATGAGTATACATCAAATTTTGGAAAAAGCTGACCAGAAGAAAACCACCTTGCAACTAACAAACCAAGAAATGATCTCTAGATGGTCGTAAGACTGCGCTAATGATCTTTGGTTCTGGGCCAGAAGATCCCAAACAAGCTTCACTATGCTCTTTATGCTAAAATACTTCCTTATTTACACCTCCAGCCTCGACCTCTTCCCTGACCTCCAGTCTTAGATATTCACCTGCCCATTTGACATTTTTCAGATGACTGAAAAGCAACTCAAACTCAAAACATGGTAGGCATTTAGTATATTGTTAGGGTCCTTTTTCCGTCTTCTGCTTCAACCCCAACTCTAGGCATCTTGATTTCTTCTTTGTGAAGGCCCAGCCCTCTGTGAGACGCCTTCCTCCTGCCACTAAGACTAGATCTGTATTGAGACTAGAAATTGTCTCCTAAGGAAATTCCCCGAAAGAAAGAGAAGAGGATCATCTGGGAGTTTAGGGACCATAGCTATCAGTCCTTGGACTTGTAGGGGATCAGCAGGCAGTATTCTATCCTATTCTTCAGGAATAGGAAGTTAATTTTGTTTCACTATATCTGTAGTACGATTAGAGGGTAAACCAATAAGCAGTTTATTATAAACCAAGATTTAAAGTGTAATTTCAATCCCATGGACTGCCAAAACCCCAAATGTATCTTGGAGAAAATGCAAGCAGAATGCTCCTTGGAGGCAAGGATGACAAAGCTTTTTCTCACAAATTTGGGCATGTGGCTAGGAGAGGCTATTCCTTGGAAAGGGACATCATGCTTGGGAAGGTAGAGGGTCAGGGTAAGAGAGGAAAACCCTCAACAAGATGGGTTGACCTAGTGCCAGCAGCAGCGACTGAAGTGTGTCAGGTATAGTGGGGATAGGACAGAGTTCAAATCTGTTGTTCATAGGGTCACTATGAGCCGTAGTTGACCTGACAGCCTCTAATAACAATCAATTTAATGAAACTTAATTGACAATCATAAACTTGGGAGGGAGGGAACACTCTGAGGGAGAGAGATGGGAAGTCTCCTTCTATTAACATTTCTAAGCTAGGGATCCTGAAGGATGGTTGCTGTGAGTGGGATCGGCATGTGTTTAGTAAACACTGTTATAAGGAGCACTGGTAGAGTGCATGACATATTATGCTGATAACCAAGAGAAAGGTCAGTGGTTTGAATCCACCAGCTGCTCCCCAGGAGGAAGTTGCCAGTCTCCACCCATAAAGTTTACAGTCTCTGAACTGGATGGTGGTTGTGGGTTAGAACTGACTCAACAGCTGTGGGTTTATATTGTGGTTGTTAATATTGTTATTCTGTGTACCAGGTATTCATTACACAGTGAACAAGACAAATGCAAGTCCTCCTTTTCACCAAGATTATAGGCTATTTAGACAGATCACAAAGCAGGTGATTGCAATATACTTTGTGAAGTAAGTACTTTGAAAAGAAAAGCACCTAAGGAATCACATGGTAAGAGCATATGAATTTAAGAGTTGGGAAAATTCTCCTGGAACATGTAATGGAAACCTTCAAAAAGATTATTATTGTCAAGTATTTTTTATTAAGTAGTCAGATAATTTGACATGGGATCATATCCTGCAGTTCTTTGATTCTATTGTATATGGTTGTTGTTAAGTACCACTGAGTCAGAACCAACCCAACAGCTGATTTTCAGAGGCAGTAAATCACTTGGGAGGAGACTGCCCGTCTTTCTCCAGTGGAGCATCTGGTGGATTGGAATTGGAATGCCTTTGAGTTGACAGTACAGCTCTTAACCACAAAGCCACCAGAGCTCACAGTAGTCAAGAAATAGAAACTATATCAACATCTAATAAATTCTTCCAAACATCTCACCTAAATGTCCCATTTTTAAGTGGAGGGAGACTTACTTCCCTGTAGGTGCCTTACTCTTCTAAAGAGAGTGAGTATAGGGAATGTTACGTACATAAGCTCTGACATTAGACAAAGCTCTGCACCTCACTAGTCATAGTGGGGACGTGATAGAGCCTATTTCATAGGGTTCTTTGAGGATTAAATACCTCTGTGTAGCATTTAACTCTGCAGCTGGAATTGAGTGAGCACTCACAACATGTTGACTACTATGACTTTAGAATGGCTGCATCTTTGAAGCTGCTGTAGCCAGATAACTGCAGATCATCTTCATGATTGTCATGCGGATTTGTGTCTTGTTCCATCTTTGCTTCAGGTCTCAGGATTTCCCATCCATATGCCGTATACTGATGTCCAGTCAGTTGTTGATGCTGTGTATCAAACTGGAATTTACTCTTCTGAATTTCCCCAGACAGAATTTGCTCTGGCTGTATACGTTCACTCATACCCAAACAACATATTATCTGTGTGGGTCTATTTGGCCTCTTTAGCCCGATACCAGTAAAAAAAAAGAGAGAGAGAGAGAGAAAAGGAGAGGACTGTTCTTTGGGTCCCCAACTAGTAGTCCACACGCACCTTGTAGCTGGATTTTGCTGCTCATCTTCAAGCCCAGCCAAGTGCCGAGTCCAGACGTCTGTCCACTTACAGAACTGCATGCAACACATTCCCCTCCAGTCACTGAAGAAGAGCTTAAACGGCTTTCTCGCCAGAGAACTACTGAAATAGGACTTTCAGGACAGTCTGGCTGCCTTAGATCTCTGTTTGCAATAAGTCTTTTTCTGGGAAAGAAGCCATTCTGGCCTGTCTCCCTCAGACCAGTGTTTCTCAAATTGTGGATCTCATACTACCCCCATCAGAGCATAGCAAGAGGCCAAGCCTTCTGATTGTCAGGCCATTGAGTCCAGTAAGACATGAGATAGCCACTGAAAGGAATCCCGGGAGTTCTGTTATGGAATGATCTGCACTGGAATCTCTAATGGTGTAAAGGAGTTATGTACATATGTAATTATATAGACCTGTTAAGGGATAGTGAAAACTAAGAAAAATAATGCTCTGGAAATACTTGGAACTGAGGCAGTCTTGCCAGCCACTGTATTCACTATTGTGTCTGAATAGTTTACCCTTGTGTGCGTTCATTTAAAAAAAAATCATTTAAAACTCAGTAGCTTTTATTGTGTGCTACAAGGATTCTCCAGAGAATCTGGGCTCAGCTTCATCTCCTTCCAGACTCACTCTGCAGGTTTCCATACTCTTTTCATTGTGTGGATGTTTTACAATTTTTATTTAAATTGTTTTGTACTTTGCCTGGTTTGTCTTCTCACTTTCACTTCAGTCCAGCCACACTTGCTTTCTTGTTCATTCCGAACCTGTCTTCTTAGAGCTTTTGTATCTGTTCTTCCCTCTGGCTTTGCAGTGCTCAGACCCCGGAAGGCTTCCTCACTTCCCTCAATGTACTGGCATTTTGATCACCCTACCTAAAACAATGGCTTCCCGCTGTTACTTTATATCCTCTTTTGTATTTCTTTATTAACACTTGTCCACCATGTGACTTTTTATTGTTGCAAACCACTTACTATGTTGCTCTCTCCCTAGTAAAATATAAATGCAACAAAAACAGGAACTTAAGTTTCTCTAAGAACTAAGCAAAGGCCTAGTTATGTCTAGCTTATTCTAAAGAATTAACAAAGGAATAAGCTTCACTCACATTAACCATATAGTACAGAGCAGAATTATCCCATAAGGTTTGCAAGGCTGTAATCTTTATGGAAGCAGGTTGCCACATCTTTCTTCTGCAGAGCAGCTGATGGGTTAAACACCCCCCCCCCTCCCCGCCTTTCAGGAAACTCGGTTAGCATCCAACCACTTCCCCACTTCCCTTTTCTCTCACTTTGTAAGAACTCTTTATCATATACTTCTCGGAACCAAGGTTGCCAAGTAAAAGAGGCTAGAGGCTAGCTTATTGTTTTCAAAAGAGGTTAAGCCACAGTCTCAGGTGAAGATCGCTATTGTAGACCAACTTTTCTGTTACGATACTCTAGCAAACAGGTTAAAATACAAGTATCTTAGGTGATGGATTAACTTGGGGACTGGGGTTATGGAGGTAGATGTGTCAGAGACAACTGGCTTAGGGTGTAAAAAACAAGATGGCGACATGTATCAGTCGCAGGGTGCAGAGGTGTTGTACATAGGGTCACTATGAGTTGCAAGCAACTTGACAGCACCTAACAACAACAAACCAAAGGTGGTTCCTCTCTGGCAATATCAATCTATCAGAAAATCTGCAGAGGAAAGATGGGCAGTCTCCTCTCCTGCAATTTTTGGCCTCAGAAACGCCAATGGAGGGTCAGTTATGAGCCAGTTTCAACTAGATGACAATAAGAGTGATTGCTTTCCAGTAGGTTCAGATGCACGGAGACCCTACGTGTAGCATGGTGTCCCAGGAATATTGGGCAGTAGTCCTCTTTAAGAAGGGAGCTCTGTTGGCAAAACCCCAAAACCTGATAATTCATCTGCTTTGTAGGAGAAAGACGTGTACTGTTTAGATGGAAACCTTACAGGGTTATTCAACTCTGCCCTACTTGTTATGTGTTACAATCAATTCCATGGCAAGCAGTTCGGTTTGATTTGGAATCTTCATGGCCACAAATAGCCAGGCATTTCTTTACTTTTCAGGTGTGCTGAGTGGATTTGTGGTGGATCGCCCACTACTTGGGTAACCAGGGATCTCTGATTTACTACCACAGATGGATAATTACAATCTATCGCGGATTTGACAAGCTCGATTACTGAAACTCAAAGCTCACCGCCCGTGAAGTCAGAATTCACTCAAACCCCACCAGCGGCTGTAAATGCAAAGGCATGCGAGGGGATTAGTGAAGGTGATCCCTTCACCCAAACTTTTTGAAAAATCTCTAAGCAAATTAAATAAGGCAGGGAAAGAGATTAATTGGTTTTCTAGGAGTTTTTGAGATGGTATTTAAAGGTGATGCAGTAAGGCGGGGAAAGGGGTTCATTGGGATTCTAGGAGGTTTTGAGACAGTATTAAAAGGCGAAAACACTTGGGCCGCCAGACAGGGCTGCAAAGCACCACAGTGGGAACTAGCGATCCCTCTTAGCAGCCCGAAGGTGCCCGGGCTATTGCAAAGTGAAATAAAGCGACAGGATCCACGGTGAGAAGGTCAGTTCCGGGCCTGGGACGTTTCCTTCGAGGGCCCCGGGAGGCCAGCGAAGGTTCTCGGCAGTTGAGTGGCATTACCGAATTGGCCCCCGGATTGTTGGCGTTCTCACTTCTCTGGGACTTTTCCACCTCCGGCCTCGGGGTGGTGAACTGGGGGCGCTTTCAGGTAACGCGAAGGCCTGGGCTGGCCCGGGAGTAAGACGGTCGGAGCAGCGACCCGGGGCCGCCGAGCCGCAGCGGGCGCCGCACCTGGCCCGGACTCGGCCGCCGATTGGACGGCTCCGGGTGACCCCGCTATATCGCGAGACGAGATTGGCAGCGGCCGGGCCGCACGTGCCCCCGCGCTGGCTTTGTACGCGGAGCCGCCTGCCGGTCCTTTAACAATGGGCGGCCGGGGCGCCCCTGCGCTGTCCCCGAGCTGAGGCTGGCGCTCGGCGGCCGACTGCCCGCAGCATGCACGGGGCTGGCGCTGCGCACACGCCGGCGGGGCTGGGGCAGTGAGGGCCGCGGTTCCGGGTAAGGGAGGCCGCCGGGGGAGTGGGCAGGCTTGGGGCCGAGGCGCCGAGCCCGGGCGGCCCGGCCTTTTGTTTGCCTCTCCGGGGCCGCGCGCGAGCCGCCTCTTTTCCCCTGGACGAGGAGGCGGCGGTCTCGGTTCGCGCCTGGCCCAGCCGGCTCCCGAGGAGGAGCCAACGCCCGAGCGTCTGCGGCGGGCACCCGGGGCCGGCGACGTCCGCCTCCGGGGGAGCATTTCACCTCCGAGGGGCCGCGGCTGCTGTCAGGTGCCCGCGTCCTTCAGGGCGGGCCGGGGACTCGAACCCGGGTCGCTAGGTGCCCCTGGCCCTGCGGTATTCCCCGAGCCTGCACCCTGCTTCGTGCCTTGGCAACTCGGAGCCCGAGTTGACGCTCCCATTTGCCCCGCACCCTGCTGGATAGTTTTACAAATAAATTCGCTCGTCCTAGAGAGGCGGACGGATCGGACCTTACGCTTGGCGTTGGGAAGCTGGTTTTCGGAGCCCTGGGAGGTGGCCCGAGGTCACACCCCTCGGGGAGGGTCCGCAGGTCGTGGGGGTAGGAGCTGTCAGTGACCGCGGCTGGGGTTTGTCTTCCAGACTCCAACGACCGCGTCTGGTTCGGCGCGCCGGCCGGGCCCATGGAGCTGGAGACGCAGTGGTGGCGAGGACAGCTGGCCGCCGACATCCATCA